AAGGGTTATCATCTGCAAAACAAAAGCAAGCATGATTCCTTTTTCAAGAAGAAAGCTATTCAGCCCGCCTTTAAGCACCGCAAATAAAAACATTTCTTCCTCTCGCACAGGACACCTACCACGGACGTGCATTCGATGAAATGATATTCAGCGCTTTCTTTTAATAGCCATCTTGCCTGGGAAGCTCTCCAAACGTGGGCCTGCGTATGGGAAACAGGCTCCCTGGGACAGCAATTTCATACCTTCACACAGCAGCCAACCTTCAAGCCGCTACCCTGACCGCTGTAATCTAAGCTGGAAGATAAGGAGCCGCGTGTTGAGATAACAGCCCTGAAACAGAGCTTTCATCTAAAAGGCCAAGGAAAATGCCAGCTGTTCTGTCTCTGCTCTATGCCCTTCTCTCCCCACGGCGAGAGGCTATCAACAAATCCATGTAGTTATTTCTCGCTTTTAAAAAATAAAAATTCATTAACTTCTCGTGGCTCCGCCATCAGAGAGCTTCTTTTAAATGGATAAATCTGGGGTTTATCTGCTTCGCCTGAGATTCTCTGCTTACTGATCTCAGATTATTCCTCCATTTCACCCTGTTCAAACCCAAACAAAGCGTCCTTTGGAATTATCTTGTCTGGGTTTGTTTTTAACATCACTAGAGCTTTGGGCCCCTGTCTCCTGCTTCCTCACACGGGTCTGCAACCTGCACAGGCACTGCAGAGGGGAGAACCTCTCCCCGTTTGGATTAGAGGGTGCAGGGCCCACTTGCAACTAAGATAAGATGGCAATCCTTCCAAAAAAGGCTTTCAGAACAGTTCAGCACCTCAAAACACAGAGTTGCTGCATCAAAATGAAGAAAAATTTAGCATTTTCCTTAAATAAGTGTTCTATATAAACTGTTCCATTTCTCTGTACCTGTCTGCTTGGCAACACTTTTTCGACACCTGTTTGCTTAGCGAGTCAAAGATGGCTCTGCGGAATTCTTAAAGAATGAAGCAAGCAAAATCAGTAATGGCATGCAATCCGAGCTGCTTCAGGCACACAGCTTCAAAAGAACCGACAAGATCAAGCTAGCCCCAAACATAATGCAAGGGTTTCCTGTTCCCCACGCTAAACTTGGGAGCAGAAGCAAAACTTCACATCTCAAAGACCTGCAAAAATGGAGATGAACCGAAGTATGTCTTGCACAGACGCATAAAATGTGTAGGAAAGGTGGCAAGACTCCTAGTGAGGTGGAAGAGTGCTCTTGGGAACGTGCCACAGATGAGGTTCAGTTCGGGTAAGGGGACACATATGTACAACAGTATTTTGTTTTATACCTTTGCCTTCAAATGTTCTGTGCCCTTCGATGAAAGGTTAACGGGGGCTTCACTCTGAAGTTGTTTTGGAAACGTGCTATGGCTGCTGCTGCTAGGCTTATCGTCATCGTGGCTGGTACCCGGGGAACTCCATCCGGGACCTATCTACGGGCAAGTGCTAAATGAGGATCCGGAGTGGAAGGCCTGGGGCCTCGCACCTCTGGGAACGACCTCAGCACACCTGGTGAAACAGGCAATGCGCCTGCCTCAATGGCTACAAACCAGGACTGACAGCCACGAGGATGAGGAGGGGACTGGAGCATCTCTCCTACGAGGAGAGGCTGAGGGAGCTGGGCTTGTTCAGCCTGGAGAAGAGAAGGTTGAGAGGGGATCTTAGAAATGCTTCTAAATATCTGCAGGGTGGGTGTCAGGAGGACGGGGCCAGACTCTGTTCAGTGGTGCCCAGCAACAGGACAAGGGGCACCGGGCACAAACTGAAGCAGAGGAAGCTCCAGCTGAACACGAGGAAGAACTTCTTCCTTCTGAGGGTGACGGAGCCCTGGCTCAGGCTGCCCAGGGAGGTCGTGGAGTCTCCTTCTTGGGAGATATCCCAGCCCCGCCTGGACGTGGTGCTGTGCAGCCTGCTCTGGGTGACCCTGCTTGGGCAGGGGGTTGGGCTGGGTGACCCGCAGAGGTCCCTGCCAACCCTGAACATTCTGTGATTCTGTGAAGATGTGAAGTTGAGCTCTTGGCTCCATGAGGCAGCACACGTGCACATACCACAGACTTCGGAGAACTCTCCATCACGTACTTCCAAGGACACAGAGAATTAGAAGGGGCACTTAGTTTCTTACTTTCTTCCTGTTTCCTCCTTTGTCTGTCTCGCTTCCCTCTCCTCCACAAAATCTCTCTGTGCCTTTCCCATATCCTTTCCCACCAGGTCTCTCTATTACTCAAGGAGCTGCCAAGGACAGCAAACCATGAAGATGGCATTGCTCTTTCCCAGTCATGAGGCCACAGAGACGGTTCTCACGAAGGCTTGGTCTGAGCATGTTTCCCTCGTGAAGTTTTGGATATTCCCTGCCCGGGGATGGGGGTTGCTGGTGGCGGATACGAGTGGGGTGTAACGAAGGGTGGGAGACAACCTTTCTTTCCCCAGTTTGGTTATGCCCTGATAAGCCAGATGGCTAACACATAGACTAGAGCAGTTTACACCGCATGGGCTGGCCTACAGCTTTGCAATACAATAGATACAGTTTATATACATCATAATAAATATAATAAATACAGTTTTTCTATTCTACTCTAACACAACTTGCCTTTTCCTTTGGAAAGGCAGAGTTTACAGCTACAAACAGGCTGACAAAGGCAATCTGCACATGCTTGTTCCCTGCGCTACAGAGGAGACAGGGCAAACCACCATAGGCATCCTCCTCTCACATTCGAGTAGAGAGGCCGGCACAGGTCCCAGAATGAAAAATGCTCCATTTAAACCTGCAAAAATGTTGAGAGCAACACACGCGGTGCCTCGGCATCTTTGCAGGCTACTTCTCTGCTTAAGATGAGGACAATTGCAGCAATCGACCCTTTCACTCAAATTAAGTGCAACCTGGACTTCCCCGGCCTACCACCGACACCAGAAATTTGTCTACGGCCTGTGGTTATTCTGGGGATTTTACCTCTACGTCAGACACTTTCATGCGAGTGCCCTCTTTTCCCACAAATATATCATCAATGTCGACGAGGACATAGCGATCGAGCGTGAGGCAGAGGCGCTTGCCAGTCAAGTAGGCAATGGCATCCACGAAAACGAGTTTGTGCAGCCAAAAATTGAGGTTATTGCCGAAGAGAACCCGCTGGATCCCGTCATGCAGACCCAGGTCCTGCACCACCGTGGCATGCAGCGCTTTGTGGGCGGCCAGGTGAGGAATGGACTCCGAGGACTTGGTGCTGGCCAACAGCACCGGCTCGTAGGTGCTGTGGTTTGACTGGAACACGGTCCAGTCGTCACCAGGCAGGGGACCCTGCTCCACCTCGTTAGCCCGGGTGACATAGAGCAGGGGAGCGCTGGGGTTGATGTGATAGTCCCGCAGCCCCAAGTTGGAATGTAGGAACAGGGGGAAACCCTTGAGCTGTGCACTGAGCAGGCTGTTCTCGTTGGCTTTGAAAAAGCCTATAATCCCCACTCCATACTCTACGCAGTATTTGTCCAGCAGCTCTCGGTTCCAAGCGTCTAGGTTCACATATTTAAGGATGTTCTCGTAGATAATGAGGGCGTAGCGTCCCCGATCTTTGTCCGTCAGGGTGGGCATGTCACCTTTGCCAGGGGCAATCTCTGTCCTGTATTTAAACCGGCTGGATTCCAGGATGGCCACTATCTCCTGCCCCAGCTGGGAGTAAATGCTTTCCACGAAGACAAGCACCACGGGGTCCGTGCGCGAGGTGTCCACAGATTTCGTGAGCCTCCAGCTGGTCTGCGGTGGGATCAGGATGCGGTGCTGGTTGCTGCAGTCACTGAAGGGCAGGGGTGGCGGCTCCTTGATTTTGGGACTGTTGGTGACGTAGTAAGCCAGGATGCACATGGAGATCAGGCTGAAGGCGATGAGCAGCAGGATCAACCTGTGGAGCTCCAGCTGTCGCACGTGCCGCACCACTTTCCACAACTGAATCATGGTGAGGCGGGCCGCCCACCCCCTCCTCACACCCCGCGCCCGCGTCGCTCTTGGAATCTCCAGCGCCGCCGCCGGGGCAGCCCCCCGCCCCCGCCTGC